TGCAGGAAGTGAGCCTTGCAAGCTGAAGCAGGGAACTGCTAAGGCAGCTGCACCCTGGTGCGACCATCACAAAGCAAGAGACCCGAGAACTTGAAAGGCGAGGCTCACTGAGCCATTTATTCCGCTGCCCTTCAATTAATCCCACGTGTTTATCGGCCAGGTTGGCACAATAAACTAACTCAATCCATCTCTTGGCAATCTGGCACCTGTACATAATTCTTTAGCATCACAATTGCAATTAAGTAACACCTACACCTTAACCCTATAATCCTGTGAATTTTCTCCCCACCTATGAAAGTTTGTAAGCCAACCACGCATGTCTTTATCTCCCCCAATTTTGGATATCCAATTTATGTACTGCCCACTTACATCAACCCAGTTCTCTGAGAAGACAATCATATTTGTTGACATAAAGAGTCTTCATTCCAATTGGAACCTTGTGAAGTCTGCATCCATAAGCAAAGTCAAATCCAGACAGGCCATCCATAAAGTCAGCAACAATATGCACCAGTTCACAGGCTCAAAAATCTCCAGCTGGTCGGGTTCTGGTCAACTCAAAGTGGGCTGCCTCATTCAGCCTCCACAGGGTGCCCATTGGTCACCTTGCCTTAGACCATGGGCTCTCACCAACTCAACAAGCCTAGCCCCCTCAGGGTCGGTCATGAACCTTAGACCAGTCAACCTGCTCTCTCTTCTCCTTTTTCCTGTAAACCAAGTCCACAGGTGTTAGTGGCCAAACGCAACCTGTCTCTTTATTGCTGTATTTCTCCCACTTCCACTCAAGTAGATCCAGGTGGTCACCTAGCAAGCATTTCAGCCTGCTCACAGGCTCCCTTTAACATTCAGTTCCAGAGAGGAGTTTTCTTCATGGTTCCAGATTTTCTCCAGCTTCTGACAAAGACTACTGGTTCCTTAGTACCCCAAAGCACTGGGTGGGACATATATTTTAAGGTGACCAGATATTAACATTGGTAAAGTAGGACACCATTGATAAAACTCATATCCTGGCGAAATAGCCACATGGCAGCCGAAAACCGTATACCCTAGCTTGTTGTGCATTCTTTCCAAAAATCGGGACTTTTTTAAAACACAGAGGGACCTTGGAAAAATTGTTAAAAGTCAGACTGTCCTGCCAAAAGCGGGATGTCTGGTCATCTTACCCTAGGATCACTGTGGGGAGGTGATAAGTAGATATTCCTTACAGCAAAGCAGGAAGAGAGTCATAAATTAAGGGTAGGATCCCAGGACACGGGTCATGTGACGCACCTGGAGTTATTCAGAGAATTTGCCTTTGCGTATGCTATCAAGTGGGGGTCAGCCAACAGTGGCCTATAGCAGGTCAAATCTGGCCTACTGCCTGTTTCTGTCAATACAATTTAAGTGGAACACATCCACGCCCATTGGTTTATGTACTAGCCCATGGCTGTTTTCATGCTACAACAAAGGTGAGTCATTTTAACAGACACTGAATGGCCTATAGAGCTAAAACTGTTTATGCTCTGACTCTTTACTGGAAACATCTGCCAAGCTCTGAGATGAAAGAAAGGAGAAGGGCAAGATTTATTACTAAGAACGGATGTTTAATGTGTCCAAACCGAAGCATTCAATAGCTTATTTTTTTAAGGGATGACTTCTCATTTCCTTAGTAACTGTAGGTATGTATAGTAAATAGTTTACACCATTATGTTGTCTTCTCCTCAAATAAATAAATAAATAAATAGATAGATAGATAAAAATAAATAGTTTACACCCTTTTTCCTGGTTCCAAATACCTAAGGTGAATACAGACCACTTAAGAAGAATTTTTAACTTCCTTTCTGAAAAGAAATTAAAATAAAATCTATCCAGAACCATCAAAAAATCAACCACTCCTGTAAAAGATTTATAGGTAAGCCAAGGAGCCCTGGTGGTGTCCTGGGTTACATGTCCGTCTGCTAACCACAAGGTCATCAGTGCGAACCCATGAGCTGCTCTTCAGGAGAGGCACTTTCTACTCCTGGGAAATCTTCCAGTCTCAGAAACCCACAGGGGCAGGTCTACCTAGTCCTATGAATTGGAATCAATTCAATGGCAGTGAGTTTTTTTGGAGCCAGCACCAAAGTGTCTCATTGGTTCTCCTTGGTTTGGGAGGGAAGGGACCTGGTGGCCCATGTGGTTTGGGTTGGATCGGTGACTTAACACACATGCAGTGGCTCCACAGAGGAAAGACCTGACAAGTTGCTTCTGAAACGTCGTGGCAATGAAAGTCCTCCGTTCTACTGGGTGACAGGTGAGGGCAGCGTGAATCAGAATCATCTTGAAAGCAGTAGGTTTGAGGCTTGGGGGGTTGGGGGGGCGGGGGGCGGGGGCGGGCCTGGAAAGAAGAAGCATTTTGAAATCACCTGAGATATTTCAAAACGTGAAGGACATTCCAGAGTCTGGGAAGAGAATGGAAGGAGAGAAACATAGTTGGGAAGGTCTTAGAGGAGAGAGAAAGGCAAACATACATAATGCTAATTTTGTAAAAGGACAAGATGGGAGTGTTTTGCCCTGGCAAAATGTTTAGGAAAATGTGGCTATCTTAACAGCTGGGCTCTTCCGAAGATTGGAAAATATATTCGCAAATTCTCTAGAACAAGGAACTTGTGGGACTGGTATCTAGCCGTGAGTCACTGAGCCAGTCACAGAAGGCGGCCTGGAGAGGAAAGAGTGTCTACGATACTGCCCATGGCTGTTGGAGTCATAACCTCCAGCACCAGACCTGTGTATGGTGAGTTGGGGCAGTCTAGGCCATTGACACAGCAGCGTCCAATGACAGTGGAGTCATTTGAAGGTGTTGGTCTGCTCTATCGTTTTATTTAATAGGCATTAAATGCCATCCACATGTACAAGATGATATACATTTTCAGCATGATCAACAGTCTCTTATAAATCATGGGTTAGGGTAGCAATTCATTTCCCACTACACTTCTCTTACTCAAATTAAAAATGCAGATTTTTCACAAATATATTAGCTCATTTAATCTGTACATTTATGTCATAGGTCTAATAAGATGAATAAGACAAGTAACATATAATGAATTCCCTGTTATCCAGTACATAAGAAATATCATTTCTTTCCCCTCAAATCAAGTACAGAATTATGAGATGGGATGTATTTCATGCTTGTTTTTCTCTGCGGATACAACATTATAATGTAATCCCAGGTGTGTGCCACTGTATCTATCAGTCAGTTGTCAGGACTATGGAGAGTTTGAGATATTACACTACTTTCGAACTAACAAGTCCTCCCAGAAGTTGATAGAAACCATCGGCCAAGACGGAGCCTTCGTGGTATATGTGGCGGGTACAAGTTGGGCTGCTAAAACCACAAGGCCACCAGTTCAAACTCACCAGCTGTTCGTTGATTGTTCTCGTTTAAGTATTAAGGGAATCATAAACCACCTCTCAGTGTGCATTTTTTATACTTAAAATGGTTATAAGGGCAACAAGTTAAATTATTTTAATCCCATCATTGGTCAGGACCTGTTACAAAGTTCTTTCCAGTCTGCTAATAAATTGCTCAAAGGGCATTTCACTTGGCTGTAAATTTCAACCCAAATGCCTTCAGCTCCATCTCTGTGAGCCAGTGAACCTAGCTCCCCAAATTAAGTGCCCAGAGGCACCCCACTCCACAAGCCACCCCCTGCCCCCAAACATTCAGCTTTCCTTGCCCTGTGGACAGACGTATACTAACTACTCTGTCTCGTGCCCTGGCTCTTGGTTCTGGTGTGGCTCCTCTTGATGCTACAGCTGTCTTCTGGATCAAGGAACTTGCTCGTGTGGTCATCTTGGGTCCAGGGGATGCGCTCCACTTCCGGGTCTTGGTGGAAGTTGAAATCCCCCCCATCCCCACCCCTGCGGCTGCTCAGAGGCTCCTTGTATGCAAAAGGATGACAATCACAATGTAGCCTCTGACTCACATGTGATCCCATCAGTGCCTTCCCCCAGGTGTGTGCAGGTCAATGTCACTTGGGGGGTGTTACAAAGACTTTGGCTAGATAGGCCACATTAAATAACTTGCTGTCCCTGCAAAGCTGTGTCTACATCACCAAGACATTGTGAGGCTTCCATAAAATGGCACATGTCAAAGTGCTGAGGGATTATCGAGACTCAACTCACCACCCTTTGGTCTCTCCTATAGGAGAGCCCCATCTTTCTCACCTGGAGCAGCTGGTGGTTTCAAACTGCTGGCCTTGTGGATTGCAGCATAACTTCACCACCAGGGCTCCTTATTAGCATCGTTTTATAAGCATCCTTCTATCATCAGAAGTCATTATGTAAATGTAATATGATGTAAATATCTATCCTTGGGAGCACTGAGTGATTCAGCCCGAGGACCTGGCTAGGGTTGCAAAGACATTTTGTTTTTTAAAAACCCATGGAAATTCTATTATACAAGTTATAAGCCTTCTTCAAGAAGTCCTGGCGGCTCCATGGGTTAGGTGTCAGTCTGCTAATCCACAGCTCAAAGCCACCAGCTGCTCCTGAGGAGAAAGATGAGGCTGTCTGCCCCCGGAAAGATTGACACTTTCCGAAACCTTAATGAGCAAGTCAACAGTGCCCGGAGAGTCACGATGGGTCAGAACCCTGTCGCAATTTAAGCTGCAGTAAAAGGATGGCTCAGGGAGAAGAGGGACTGCCATCCCAAGTGGTGGAGGAAGGTGGCACTGATTGTTATATGGAAAGGAAGTTTAATGATTGATTGATTTTTCAGTATGTAACTACATGGTACATCCTCTTTTGATATAGGAACGGTTGATACCCCATCTCTGCAAGAGAGAATACAAGCCCGACCAAATCCTGAAGAGGTAGCTCTTGATTTGCTCTTTTCAGTATGTTTCAACCTTTTGGTTAAAACGGGCCCTGCTGTATAACACCGACTCTGGTGTGTGTGTGTGTGTGTGTGTGTGTGTGTGTGTGTGTGCATTTCAGTACAACGCAGATCCTTGGAGCAGGGAAGGGTTGGGGGGACGGATGGCCACCATAGCCTAGTTGATTCATCATTGATGATATTCTTGCGTACAATGCATGAGGAATGGAGGTAGGAAGCCGGTGGTCCTGTGCAGATTCCTCTTGCCTTTGATGCCCTGAAGGCGTCTCAGCTGAGTCCACACTTCAGCTCACAGCACGGTCTCTGGCCACAGGCGCTGAGCGATTTCCTGAAGAGACAGAAGACGGGGAGATTTGCGACCGCGGAAGAAGTGGCCCAGCTCTGCGTGTATTTGGCTTCGGATGAAGTAAGCACGATTCTTCTCAGGGAGTTCATTATCCTAAATCACCTTTGGCCACAAGCTGCCCATTGAAACAGTGACGTGTTTTAGACAGTTTATGGTAGATTTATGCGCAAACACTGTATTTACAAGATAGGGATTAATTTTTTATTTTATGTCCTCAGAGAAAGGCCACTTTGATCTGACCACTCGTTCTTCGTTCATTCAAATGTGTTGTCGTTGGGTGCTGTCAAGTCCGTGCTAACGCACAGTAACCCGTGTGACAAAGCACTAACCCCATAGAGTTGTCTGGGCTGTCCCCTTTATGGAAGTAGACTGCCAGCTCTTTCTCCCGTGGAGCGACTGCAAAGCCACCTGTTCAGTATTAACCCTTTATGACCAAAGGGCCCCTTTGATTCAAATTTGCACCCGACTAAATCCCGCAGCAAGTTCAATGCACAATTGAAAAAGATTAAACTGCTTACTTTTCTAGTAACTGCTTTCAAAAACTACAACCAGGAGAACCCTAATTACATGAAAGTCAAACAAATGAACCCACAAAATTAAAAAAGCTCCCAGTGGAATGTAAGGGATACACAATTGGCACCTGGTGGCTTTAGTTTTACCGATGATTTGTTTAGGAAGATGCCACGGGCACTTTCCCTCTCTCACTTCCTATTGGTCATCATGTGTAGAGATGCTTAATGCTATCTCTTCCCACTTTGTGTCTCTTTAGTAACCTGTTTTAAAGGAACCCTGATGGCACAGTTGGGCAACTAGCCAGCAGTTCAAATCCGCCAGCTGCTCAGTGGAGGGGAGCTGAGGCTTTCTGAGTCCATAAAGACTTATAGCCTCAAAACCCCACAGAGGTGGTTCTACCCCGTCCTGCAGGGTTGAATAGCGACCTCTTTCTCCTGTGGAGTCACTGGGTGGGTTCAAAACTACCAACCTGTGTTTAGCAGTTTAGCACTTAACCATGTATGCCCAAAGAGCCCCTTTCAGTTACTGTGTGTGTATGACAGCAAACGGTCCAGAAAGCAGGAGCTAGACTAATAAGGGAGAGAGCAGATCCTTTTCCTTGGTCTTACATGGTCAGAACACAACATGGCCAGCGTACTGTAACATACAAGGCAGCTTCAAAAAAGTAGGTAGAGAAATGGAAGTAAAAGATGATCACCCCCGCCCCCAAATTTTTGGAAGCTCCCTGCTTGGAAAGAAAGGAGCACGGAGAGAGGAGTTGTGATAGTAACTTGGTACCCTCCAGGTGGCTGGAGAGCATGACAAATAAAGGGGTTGAATTTCTTTGTAACAAAGCAGTTGCCATTTCTTGGCGGCACTATTAACAATTGATCATACTTGGGGCAATTTGAAACAAGCAAGGTGGTGGTGGCCTGTGTGATTTCTTGAATTCCTTTATCTTCAGAAGATCCCATTTCATCCTTGTGTGTGTTTTCTTTTTCTTTAGCTAATCTGATCTTGGGCTATTTATGATCAGCTCAATTCCCCTTGTTAAGCCCCAGAAATTAAGTTGCCAAATACTGGAAGTGTTCAGCTTGAACTATACAAGAGGAGGACCTTTGGCCTTTTCAAAAGGACCAGGCAGATCTGTTCATCACAGAGAACCTGCCATTTGAAAGGACTTGGCGAGATTGGGGACTTAGTTTTCTTTCAGGGAAGTGACTGATAACTCCTTCATTTTCCTACTTCTTATGATCAGTTTTCCTATACTAAATTTGTAACATTTTTTCAGTTTCCAATGCCTTTCCTTACTGCCTATCCAATTGTTTCTGGCTTTCGGTTTAAAACTAAGAAGACAATTTTAGTCTTCAAATACCCATGTTTAAGTTAGAAGATTTTTAAGCCTCTCCCACTCAAAAATCATTACAGCTTAATTCTTTGGAAAATTAGAAAATTCATGGGGAAATTATATTAATTATTCTTTGCAATCATCTAGATTTGTACAGTTCATATGTCTGGAACAAATATAGGATATTTCCTTAATAGTTAATAGATATACTTATTATTGTTACTCATGTAAAATTTAAAAAGCATACTGTATATACTCGAGTAGAAGACAACCCAAATATCAGCCAAGGCACCTCATTTTACCACAAAAACTGCATAATAAAACGTGCTGAAAAATTCAGCTTTTACATGAGTATATACAGTATTTCAGCTCTTAGTATCCCCTACGTAGATTGACCAAATGAAATGATATATCTTTTTAATTCTATTTGGTGCTGAGATGGCCACTTTATGACTGACATGTTTGGAATTTATTAGTTGGGAAAACACATCTAGTTCTGGTTTGTGCTTTCAAATGAAAATGTGCTAGTCTATGCCTATGTTTTCTGCTGATTTTGAAAATGGCTATTTATCATTGCTTCTTAGTATTCTGATTTGGAGATCAAATACCAAGCAGATCCTGCACAGAATGTGATAATGTTCTGAGTCCCTAGCCAGACATCTGGCTAGCTCCAGATCACAAGGACATTTAGCAGCTCTAAGTCACCAGAACTTGGCTTCATGTTTTCCTGCATTCTTTTTGTGAAGCAATGTTGCTTGTCAACAGAGAAGCAACTTGGTTAACTATGCCCATCACAGAAACAAGAAACACAACCTGTGTTAAGCCTGTTAATGGTTCCGTCTTCTTGCGTGTATCACTACAGTCTGCCTACGTCACCGGAAACCCTGTCATCATTGATGGAGGATGGAGCTTGTGATTCCAGGATCTTCTTGCAGGGAAAGAAGGCAGGCCCTTCCTGTCCACAGCCAGTCTGGATACAAAGACAATGCGACAGTGATCACTTTTCTATTAATAGCATATTAATGAAAACAGCTATCATTGTTTACCAGAGTTCGATACTTCAAATATATTTTGTCTAATTGCTTGTGAAATTATTGTAGGAAGTTGAAATCAAATGTAACAAACGCACTGAAAGAGCATCATTTTAAAAGTAGATCTCAAAAAAAAAGTAGATCTGAATTTGTAAACAAAATTAAAGTGGGAATTTGTAGGACACTTTTAAAGGTATTAATTTCAATTTTGTTCTCTAGTATTCAAGTACTTTGTAGAATTCTGTAGTCTGTCTATTATGGATCCTAATGTAAAATTTTACGTCAACATAAATAAAATACCAAAGGGAGCAATTTGAGTTCAATAGCTTACAGTAAGTGAGGTTTTGATTTAGAAACACATTGCTGATCTGCTATGTAAAAGAAAGGTCATCAAGGAACCTAATGTAAAACTTTACATTATGGCCTCAGGGCCATGGTCTCCTGCATCTGGATGGTCTGTCTTTGTCTTGGCTTTGTCCTCTTGAAGACTCAATAAAATAGTCCTTATAAAAAATTAAAAAGTATACTGACTGAGAGATGTCATCACTTACAGGTTAGTACTATATTCTTAGTCTAATTAAACAATCCTTGTGAAATAGCCAATGATATCTGACATGTATCTAAAAAGCAGGTAGTTAGTTAGTGGCTATGATCATGAAGGTCAGTAGTTCCAAACCACCAGCTGCCCCTCAAGAGGAAGAATAGGGTTTCTACTCGGAAATGTATGGGCAGTTCTGCCGTCCTGTTGGGTCTCTGAGTCAGCATCAACTAGATGACAGCAAGTTTGGTTTCGGAAGCCAGCTGCAATGTTCTCAGTTTAAAGATATTTCATAGGTTAAATTGAGATTTCTTAACCAAATTCCAGGATAACAGACTAGAGGATGTGAAATTTGGAAACAGTAGATATATTTGATAATCTTTTATAGTAGATAAATTTGGAAATAATAGATTAAAAAAATAGAGGTCAGTCATATAACAGGAAGGAAACACATGGAACTCATTCTTAGAATTATACAATCAATAAAATTTTCAAGAAATCGCTTAAATAAATTCATAGACATTTGGAGGGAAAAATGTTTTCAGTTTTAGTTTGTGATGCTTGTGTTTGGTTTATTTGTCCCTACCTGAAAAGGTCAAATAGTAACATACACATAAAGTACAAATACTTAATGAGAGAACAGTGCTTTTTAGTCTTTCCTTCTAGAACAGTAGTTAATATTGGCAAAGAAATTTTTGAAGTGGAAGATGAAACAGCATTTGAGGTGAAAGAATATTATGCAATTGATAAAATTGATTTATAATTTACAACAGAAGATAGTTTAACTGGAATTCCCGGAGATATCATTGATTACAATCCTTGCTTTGGGGTTCTGGACCCAATATCCCACTACAAAATTATAAGTAGTTTATTTTGTGAAGTAGTTCTAGTTTGTGAAATTAGAGAGTTGAATTTCTTCTGGTATATCATAATAAAAATGAATGTATGGAATCTGAAGCTTATCCGAGTATGTGATGATATACTTTATGCTGGAAGCGGTTAAGAATAGATGTGTATTTAGAGGAATGAGCAAATTTTAAACCAAAATGCATCCTACAAAATGGATTCAAACATTATCCAAAGCTACCTCACATATAATTATCTTAAACTATAAAACATGATAAATCATAAACCAAAGTAACATTCATCCAAAAAATCCATTTTCTCCAGTCACGTTCACCAAATTGTGTACCATCTCCATGAAGATCATGTGACTGAAAGAAAAGGAAAAATCTATTCCATCCTGTGTTAAGAGGAAGCTGGTGTCACTAGGGATTTTTGCAAGTTTTAGGGCAGAAAGAGTTCCGTTTAGGAAAATACTGATTTCTTAGATGCTGTGACAAGGGTATGGAGGAAGGAGCCTACATACTATTGTTCTCCAAATGAGAGGAACTGACAGGAAGAATTGAGGACAGCTCCTCTACCTGGAAAATCCGTCATTAAAGTGAACCAGGACCAACTGCTCAAAGGAGTGAGAGACAGGTAAGAACATTTGTATTTTGGATCGTTTGCTCCAAGGAGGAGCACACACTCAACAGGAGGGAGGACAAACAGACACAAAAGAGATGACAATAAATGAATGGGGTGAGGAGAGATTGCTGATGGAAAGGTTAAACTCAAAAACCAGATAGCAAAGGGTTCAAGTTAAAGAAAGCTTGAAGGGGAAGAAATCCCTAGTCTTTGAACTGGTCGCCAGAAGAAAGCACGCGGAGGCCCCAGGGCTCCAGAGAAGGCACCACTAAAGGAAGCAGTCGGAGACAAGACTCAGAATTTGGCTGGCTGTTGGTAGGGGTGTGCGCTGGGTTCGGGCTTGTGTCGAACCTGGATGGCGCGGGCCTGGCGCGTAGTGGTGTCTGATGGAGTCTTCAGGCGATCACCTCGCAGGCCATCCGTCAGCAGCAAGCGCCTAGCCCGGGCCGCATGGGGTCCTGCAAGTGGGTTGAGCGCGGAGCCCGGCGGCGGCGGCGTGGATCCGCACGGGGCTGCCAACTGCAAGGTCAACATTTGGGGACCGAAGGGCGCTCTGCCGGGCAAAGATGAGGCTTTCTAGTCCCGTAGAGCGTGCCAGTCTCCAAAACTCCCGAGGGCAGGTCTCACCCTGCTCTCAGCGGGTCACTGTGCGTCGGAATCTGCTCGATGGCGGTGAGCGAAACGGAGCGACTGGCCGCCGGCTACCCGTTCGGCTTCCCGGGCCTGCGCTGCGCGGTTCTCCGGAGCTGCTTCGCCCTCGCTCCGGGGCCCAATCCTGTCCCGGGAGCTCCCCCGGGGAATGAATGCGCGGGCGCGGGCGCCAGGGCCCGACGGAGCCACCCGGCGAAAACCCCCGGACGCCCACGGGTCCCGGTGGGCGCGTGCTCGGTCCGCGAGGTGACGACTGGTCGGCCCGGCGCCCCGCTTTGCGCGAGCCCGGGGGCCGCCGTCGCTGCAGCGGAGCCCGGTCCTCGGGGGCGAGCGGAGGACAGCGGCTCCGGGCCCGTAGGCCCCGCCCGCTCCCCGTCGGCCCGGACGCCGCGGGCCCTTCTCCCCGAATGTGGGCGTGGACGCCGCGCCCCGGGCACCGCGCCCCAGGCCCGTTATCTGCGACCGCGGCCGCCACCGGCTCCGCCTGGGCCACGGTCCGCCCGGGAACGCCGCGCGCCGGGGCTGCACCAGGCGCTGCAGGGGCTCTTTCGTCTGTTTCCAAGTCCCTTGGCCCAACTGGGTCTCCAGGCGGGAGAGCCTGAGGTGAGTGGTCGCCCGTGGTCCCTACGGTTCCGGAAAGCCCGCGGCCGGAACTTCTTGGACCTCGAGGGACCTGAAAGTGAGAGCGCGGTCCAGCTCCTAGCTTTATACCTGGTGTCAGATGTGTGTGTGTGTCTGTGTTCCAGCTCCTCGCTTTATATTTGGTGTCGGGGTGTGTGTGTGTGTGTGTATGTGTGTGTTGTGTGTGTTCCAGCTCCTCGCTTTATACTTGCTGTCAGGTGTGTGTCTCTGTGTGTGTGTGATTAGAGCGCTGCTCCATAGTGAATTTTGCTTTGTTTTAAAATCAGCCACACCCATCAGATCCTATGACTGGAGATTAAAGAGTGGGAATTCATTAAGTTTTGGGGGGGATGGAATGCAAAGGTAATGGGGGGAAATTTTTTAACCTGGTTTCAAAGGAAAACTTCAGGCATGCCTCTTTTACTTCCAGAATGGAATGAATGAAAATGGTGACTCTTTTTGGAATGTTTTTAAATTGGGGGTTCATGCATATATCTTGTCATTCCATAGTTCAATCACATCCAGCAGTTTTGTACAATTGCTACCACAGTCAGTTTCCAAACTTTCTTTTTTCTTCCTGGACTCCTTAGCATGCCTCCTTTTCTACCTCCACCCCCTACCCCCACCCCAAACCCTTATTCTACTTGCTGTCCCTGTAGGCTCATCAATCCTGGGTTTCACATACAGAAAAACATATAACACAGATTCAGGTGGGAGGCCCCAATGACCTAACATATCTGAGATAAACCCTAAAATGAATAAGCAAAATACAGAGAATGTTGAAAACCAGATCAGGTCCAGCGTGTGTCAGAGAGGGGACCAACTGACAAGGTTTTAACCGTTCAAGTCGGGTTTATCCCTTTGATCTATGGTCATCTCTCAATGCACTCTGTTTAGTAACCCCATTGTGGAGTTTTAACCAATATACTGAATGGCTTGGGTAGAAATTGTTAACTGGGAATCTCGTTTACTATATAAACCTTCACTCTAAAACCAACAACAAAAATATTTTTAAAAAGGAAAGAAGACAGGGAAGTACATGTAAGCCCAAGAGTCCTCAACACTGTCCTCACCAGAGCTTCTCCAAGTTGCCCCTGCATCCCATCGACTCTTCTACTGGTCGGGAATAGTTAACAGGAAGTTTGAGGAGCTGTGGGTCTGCAGTGGTGACGCTGCTTAGCAGGAGATGTGACAGTGTGTGCCCACAGAGCTATAACTTGAAAACCCTCTGTACGATGAGCCGGAGTCAATGGCAATGAACCAAAAATCTAAATCCTATGGCCCAAAGTGCCTTCAAACCCCCAGTTTACTATCTGGAGATGAGTGGCTCCCACGTCAGTCCAACAGTGGACTCAATGATAAAAACGCTGTGATTTCCTTTGTGACTTCTTCTTTACATGCTGGAGCTCCAAGAAACGCCGTCTCGGTCATAGTCCCATGCCACTGACAAGGAGCTGGTCGTGCTTCTCCCTAAACCAGCAGAAGGAAAGAGCAATGGAAGTTAGTAAAAGTGGCTATGTCAATCATGATTTATGCCGACAACTGAGGAAGGGACCGGTTGGCATTCTTGAGGACACAACTACTGGCTACGTAATAATATTTCTCAGGGAGGTTTAGAAACATTTCCTAGGTCCAATCTCTGGATAATCTGGTAGTTCTAGAAATAATGTTTTAAACTTATTTGAATACATTGGAGCTTGGTTGCAAGAAAGACAAAGAGAGAGCCAGGTATCGAGTCCCTTCGTACTTATGGTCAATTTCCTTTTATTCATATCAAACATTATATAATGTTTTACTTCAGAGTGATTCAAGAGTATCACTATATCAAGGAACCAAACAAAATAGCAATTGTTTTCCTTTGGTAACTTGACCCCACGTGGGTGGTACACCTAACACTTTCAGATAAGGTAGCTCTCATGAAGGGAAATGTTCTTAGTCACCAGTAATTGATTGTCAAGGAATGTTTTAAGGCCTGCTCTATACAGTCTGATCTGCATCCTCACTACTAGGCAAGGCACCTTTCAGAAATGCGTATTAGATCACAGTTAATAAGCAGAACTCCCAAGCCCAGGTATTTCTGTATATTCTGTACAGAAATGCCATAGAAGAGTGAGGGCCTACACTTTCAACACGTGAATGAATGACCACCAAAGTCCCATTGCTATCAAGTCAATTCCAACTCACAGCAACCCTACAGGCCTGGTTAGAATTGCCCCTGTGGATTTCTGAGACAGTAACTCTTGGTTTTCTCTCTGGCATCCATCCAATGAGAGTAAGCAATTCAGCTCATAAGCAGTAAAGCATATTTTTTTTGGCCTGTAAACCTTTGTAAACTGATTGTTCATTTGTTTCCTAACCCATATTATAGAAAACACCATTAAACATTTCTACTAGTAAGGTTATCTGGAAAAAATACATTGATTTGACAAATACTGCTCTGATTATGAAACCATTTGCAGAAGAGGTTTTCAAAGTGCACTTCACTTGTAGAAGCAGGGTGAGTGAACCAGGCTCACAAAGCTCTGGGTATTTCTGTTTCATTTGTTGGATTTGGGGATTAGCTTCACTTGAAGGATTTGGGGTTTAAGAAAATATTTGAAAATTAATGCTGTAGGATAGTCTGGCCAGTTCTCTGTTTTCTTTGAAATCCACAAATGAAAAAATATCTCCAATGATAGCAAATGAGATTAAGTTACCTACAATCAAATGACCAGGTTTTATCTCTGAAAAATGTTATTACCAAGGAGAGCTTTGTTATTTCTTTTTCTCTAGAGCTGTAAAAAGTAATTTTTTTAATATTTGAAATTGCATGAGAACAATTATTATAGAAATGTAACAATACAGAAAAAAGATATACAAAGTCAAAGAAAAGTTTTTAACATCATAAAAGTATTTGATGGTTCCCAGTGATGGGAGAGGAAGGAGGATAAATCACTAACGAGAGGGTAGACACATCTAACTTGGATGCCTGAGACGGCAATACAAAAAGGGAAGAAGGAAACAGAGGAAAATTAAAAGCCCAACTATTCCAACTCCATTTGCAACAACTGTTGAGTTGTTATTTGTTGTTGATTTTTCCCTATTTATCTATGTACTTATGCATGTTTATATGTAATTAGAGTCCTGCATGATGTAAAGTATTAACTTGTTCGATCACTAATGAAAAGATTGGCAGTTCAAATCTGATCTGACGCATCTTAGAGGCAAGTCTTGGC